ACTACAAAGGCTATCGTTGAACTGGTCCAATCGGGATGCTTTGATTGTGAGCAGGTTCAGCAGGCTGTGATTACAGTAATTACAGACCTGTGAAGGTCAAATTGACAAAACTGAATATAAACGGGGACAACCCACTGCCCTGCACTCTTTGGGATTTGGTGACAGTTGTTGGAAGATTTGCCAAGTGGTAAATCTGTAATAAAAAGTAGAAAGGAAAGTGGTTGGTTTCACAGTTTGACTTTGACTCCTTCGAATCACAATTCCAGGTCCTGATGTGAAGGCTGTGTTGTACTTTCAGGTCCAGGTATAATTTTGGCTCAATCCCCTCCCTCCCTAGTCGTGACCTTGAGTTTGTGTGATGTATCTAGGTACTTCTTAAAGCCTGTCATGACTCTTCAATGTTTTCTCCCCCTTATTTTTCTCTTTGCATGAGTGTGATGCTGGATATAAATGAACAGATACATTTTTTTTTAGCTCATCTGTGTATTATTTTGTGGAATATTTAGCAGAAACAGCTCTCACGGAAAGAGAACCCACAAAATTCTATGAAAATAAATGAAATGATCTCCCTATAATTGCCTAGCTAAAGACTAGAATAAAGCGACTTCTCAGGGACACTAAATACAAACAAGTCTTTATTTTCCTTTGTCCTTATGGTGGCGACAAGCAATAGGTTAAGTAAAAATAGAGTCTATTATCAGGTATACTATATGGAGGGGTGGAGACAGGTAGGGAAAAATCCTCTCTGTACAAGAGATGACAGTGTTTGTGCAGTGCTAGGAGAAGGTAAGGGGTCAGCACAAAGGCTGTGTCTGGATGAAGCTGAAATAGAAGAGGCGGATGGAAATTAATCAGTTCAGAGAAATCCAGATGTTTTGCACACTCAGAGCCAAGTCTCTGAATCTTGGCTGCTGGAGATTTTCATGTTTCCTCCAGATGTTTGCTTTCAGGTAGACATAGTCATCTCCTCATGCGCCTGATTTCATCATAATTCACCACATTGTTCAAAATGTAAAGTGGCTATGACAAGAATAAGCATAGGGTAGTGCAAGCCATTGCTCATGTTTCAGTAGAGAAGACATCGCTGAAGGACACTTTTTTTAAAAAGAGGATAAAATCATGCCTCTCATACAAATGTCAGATGAATGCATGTCACAGATTTTATTTAAGTCATCAATTAATGAGGAAAACAGTAAAATGTTACAGCTAGTTCAAAGGAGAATTCTTAGAAACTTATTTGGGTGTATGGAGAGACAGAGATACAGATATAGATGTAGGTATAGACATAGATATTTAAGGGCATTTTGAAGTGAAATTGCACATAGATGCAAAGTGGGTCTATCCACAGTTGCATTTTACCAGACATGATTATTTTTATTTCTATGGACAAGAGTCTTTTGCATTATTATCAGTTGCTGCAAGTACAGAGCTGTATAATAACTCAAAGACAATGAAAGGCAGAGCTAACCCAGAAGAATGTGCACTAAACAGGACACTGACTTTGTTTACTAACTTAAAATTATTGATGTCTACAAATATTTCCGAACTCCCACAGGACTTTTACCTAATGTCACCTAATTGACTGCTTTCTTAGGCACTCAGTTATATTATTGATTCTTGTATATGTCTTACCTTGCTGCAGCTCCTTGTTTAATTGCCTCCTATTCACTCCGTTGATGAGGGAGGAATTCCTGCCCTCGTAACCCTGGGGGACGGCCAAACACACAACCCCGACACTGGGCAGACGGCTCAAAAGCAATTTCTTAGTCACATATGTTCACGGCCAGGGGAGGGATATACCATGCCATCCAGGGCCACACAGGGCTGCACTCAGGAACGGAGTAAACATACAGGGCTGTGGGAAGCAGGCTTTGTAGTATCAAGAGGATGAGGTGCCCCTGCTTCCCACAGGAGGGCATGATCGGTTTAACTAAATCCACAGGCTAGAAAGGAACTGAATCCCACTACCCAGGGACCAGCAAGAGCTTCCCCTGGTCTGTTTGACCAGGAGGGTTGATCGACTAGGGGACCTTCTCTGCTGGCACGTGTGGGGAGGGAGACCTGTGTTAGCCCATTCGAGGTTGTCCCACTTTTACCCACGTAACAGGGAGCCTTCATCTCAGGCCTGGCGTCATGCTTCTCAAGAGTAACAACTAAATCTATCCACTGAATAAGCAGTTTCTGGAGCTCCTATTATGTATCAGGTGCGGTTCCAGGCTCTGGATGTGCAGCAGTGGGAGATAAAGATCCTTGTCTTACATTCCAGGAAGAGTCAATAAGCAAATGTAAAATACTTGGTATGACAGAGTGAAAAGGGCAATGAAGAAATTGTAAGCAGGAGCTGGAGAGAGGAAGGGCAGAGGGATGGGGGTAGGGGCACTGCTTGGAAATTTTAAATGTGGTGATGGAACATCTCACACAGCAAAGAAGACATCTGAGAAGAGAACTTGTGAGCCAGGAGGATGTCTGGTGAGAGAGCCCAGAGACAGAGAGACCAGCAGGTACCAGAGACGTGTAGCAGAAGGATGTCCTCAGGTTCAAGTGTCAAGGATGGATGACTTGAGGAGTGAGCTTGGGAGGAGTGGAAGGAGATGGGGTCCCACTGAGACACAGAGGTCAGAGCTAGAACTGGGCAGGACTTTCTAGCCTTCGGTTTTTACTGAAAGGTTTGGGAACCCATTGAAGGGATTAGGACCATCATTTGACTAGTCATTCTCTTTCATCTTTCGGAAGAAGTACTGAGAATATAAAGGCTACTCAATAGATTGTTGTCAGTTCATTGCAGAGGAGGCAAAGTCTTCCTTTACTGCTTTCCAGAATTTTCTACCATGATCACAATGAGATGTAGGTGCCTTCTCCCCTAAAATATATGCAGAGAAACGGACACTCAGGAAATTCAGCTTACATACAGTTGAGTTTTTGTTTTTGTTTTTGTTTTTTTGGCGGTACGCGGGCCTCTCACTGCTGTGACCTCTCCTGTTGCGGAGCACAGGCTCTGGACGCGCAGGCTCAGCGGCCATGGCTCATGGGCCCAGCCGCTCCGCGGCATGTGGGGTCTTCCCAGACCGGGTCACGAACCCGCGTCCCCTGCATCGGCAGGCGGACTCTCAACCACTGCGCCACCAGGGAAGCCCAACAGTTGGGTTTTTGAGGCAATACCTATTTCTCCCCTCATCGCATCCCCTAGCATATCTGGGCCTTCTTGCCACAGAAAGTGGAGGAAAAGGAGAAACTAATACGCTTACATGCAGTGAGGGATATAGTCTTTCCCTTCTTGTACAAATTGTAGAATTTCCCGCGGCCCTCTCCTACAGGACAAGGAATGTTTGAACTTGAATGCATTAAACATATCTCAACTAGATTTTCTCCTTCATAAATTTTATTTATGTGATAGAAATACATTTCAAACTATATGGCAGCTCTAAATTTATACTGGGCTGGACTCTTAACATTTTTCTTTCTATGAACAAGTTCACATATAAAACCAGCACGTTATAAATTCTGAGATCAGTAACTAGACTAGGCACAGTGCAGTTTGACAGACAGGACTCATAATTTTGTCCACTCATGCCTTTCCTGAATAAATGTATATCTATCACTGACACAATTTCCCCATCTTCCTGTTTCCCCTCCTTGGCCATGGTTTTGGTGTTTTCACCATGAACATTTAGAGAGGGTGGTTGGTGCATATGATACAATACAGAGTTCGTGATGACGAGGGAAACTTGGAGGAATCAGTTCAGCGGCTGCAGGAATGTGTGATGCTGAGCCCTGAAGCTGCTGGTCTGGTTTTAATGAGGTTAAACAGCAGTTCTCATCAAGACTCAGCTTAAGCATAACTCGATCCTAAGATTTTTCTTCCTCTTCTCATCCCTCCCAGAACCCACCATGCACTCATTGGACCCTATCTTCATCACTATCATTCTGTATAAGGCACTCTGTATGTGTAAATCTGTTTCTCCTGTTAGACCAGAAGCGGTTTGAGGGCAGAGGCCACAACTTCATCATCCTTTTATCCTGAATACCGAGCCTGATGCTTCGCACATGAAGGATTCAAGAAATATCGTTGGTGGTCCAATACTGTCAGGCTCATGAGGTGCGACGCTATACCACGTGAGAATGGAGCCTAGTTCCGCTTTATGATTTGAGGAAGGTCATTCTTCTTTTTCAGAGGCAGCATCATTACACAACAAAGCCACTAAGGGCAGTGGAGTTTGCTATATAATAAAGAGAAATGGGATCTCTAGTCTTTCAATAGTTCCCTTTTTCAGCATTACGTTACAACGTATTTACTTACTAGAGGCTGTCTCCTTTTTTCTCCAGCAGCATCATAAAGGGAAAACCCACTTTCAGTGGCTCTAAGGTTCCAGCTGATAGTTGCCTTTGGCGCAAACTCTTGCTTTGTGTGCGAGAAACCAGTTTGCTGATCCTTTTCTAGTGACACGCATGCAACCACCGTATGTAACCACGGTTCTTGGGAAAGCCCTGACTGGTGAAATATCCAAACGGCCATACCGCAGAACAGGATTTATACATACTACATTCTATTTTTTTTTTTAAGTATTGGATGCCTTTTTGGAAGCTAGCATGACACTGCTAAGATTATTATGATATTTGATAATGCTTTTTGCTTCCACATACAGGCCCGGGGTGGGGAGTTGGGGCTTCATGTTCTGGAGGAGAGGCCTAAGGAAGGGTAGCCCAGGGCAGCACATGTGTCAGCTTCAAGGCCAAGGAGGGAGGACCACGGGGTCCTTTGAAAGACCTACAGAGACTCTGACAGCGATCCTTTAAAAGGTTGCCCACCCTGTATTATAAATGCTGTCCTGTACCCTCCAGGGCTCCATTGATTCTGCCAAACACTGTAGCTTTGGGTTCAGGAAAGAAATGGCTGGTGACAGTAGCCTGGGAAAGGACACAGACAGCCGGTGGGCTGCGGCTCTGGAGCGGCGGTCCCCTACGGGAACTGACTAGCAGAAGCCAGAGTAGCTTTATGCGAAATGGGGACCCTCAGAAGGATGCTCATTCACATTGGAGAAGAGCCCTGGGCTGCCTCTGTGAGGCAGGCTGGGGACCAGCTGGTTGTTTGTCCAAAGAAAGGAGGTGCCCTGGCCAACGGGAGAAACCGGTCTACTACTGGGGTTACAAGCAGATGGCTTTTCTCAAAGAAAGTTTCAGGTAAGACTGAAATAGGTACAGTGTCTCTCCTGAGGGGCAGAGCGTTTCAGGGTGGGCCACATAACTCTCTGTCTTTACTCCTAGACTGAATCAAGGGTCTCCTGGACCATTTGTGGCCCCGCAGGCCCACAGATACCGAGAGAAGCGGCATGTCTAGTCCAAAGAGCAGGTGAATGACAAAGGCGTGGGGACACGGGAGGAGAGGGAAGGGGGACAGAGCGGAATAGACAGTCCCCAGGGAGGGGGGAGAGAATTGCTCAGGGCTCTCTCAGCGTCGCACATTAAGCCAGGGTGAGGGTTGAGCCAGCAGGTGCCGCGGCACCAACGCAGACCAAGGGGGGACAGAGGACCGCACCCCCGAGAGGCCGGGCTGTCTGGATGTCCACCGCGGGTCCTGCACACGCCGGCGGCCTGCAGGCGGCCCTACGCATTGGCCCTGATTCCACCGCGCAGATCCGGGGATCCGAGGTCCGGCCTCATCACGGGAAGCATCCTGCCCTGGGGGAGGGGGTCTTCTGAAGGTGGAATGAGGAATTTCCCCACTTGGACAGCCTCCTCCCCCCATGTGCCCTTTTGCCTCCCCACCCCTCTTTGCTGGGCTCAAGTCAGAGCTGTTTCCTCTCCCCCCCGCACTTTCCAGTGTGTACTGGGTGAGCACTCAGCTCTTTGGAATTCTGTGGGTGTCAGGGATTTTCTCCTCCAGCTCATGCTCAGTGATGTGGAAAGTGAAGAACTCTGAACTCTGACACTTTCTTTTTTGTGGGCATTTTGATGGAAGGACCAAGGATAGTCACAAATCTTCAGGCAGGTGGCAGAGATGTGGAAAGCACCTTATTGATCACCCACAGCAGCTCCTTTCTGGACCATCCTAAAAGGCTGGTATGGGCCCAACAGGCCAATTTGGAGAGAATCCTATTTATTCAAGCCCCCGATAGAATAAGCCAGGCAGTGGGTCATTGCATAAATAGCCCATTCTCTTCCTTCGCTAAGCCCTAGATCTGTCCCTCCTGCACTGTGCCATCTTTGCTATTTCTCTCTTTCATTAAATGCCTTTGAAGTGGTGGATTATTTTTTCTGTCTTTGAAAATTCCTTCTGGCTTGTGGATTTCACAAGTGCAAGTGCTTTAAACTTTTCCCTCCTCTTCTGAATTAATACTGTACTCCACATTTTTTTTTCCTTTCCATTTTAGGAGACCAACTACTGTGTTGTTTCATATTACATTTTCATTTCAGAACTGTTTGAAAATGGAACTCATGCCATGCACGTGAATATTTTGCCTCCTCTTGGCTGATTTAATCAGCATGGTTACCATTATTCATGCAATTGCATGAATAATTTATTTCACTGTTGTAAAAGTTTAATAAAAGTTTTCTTGTCTTTATCAAATTCCATGTTACTCTTTGTTCATTTTACAGCAGCAGCACAGTCAGAATATAGAGCAGTGACTGGCTTAGACTGCAGCACTGAAACTCTTGGGTCTATTTTATTACAATTTTACCTATGATTAAATAAGACTTCATACATGGAGAAAATATAGTAGCTCTATAGATCTAAGTATGACCAGCACTAACTGATCAGTGCCACTTAGAAGAAATTTGGAATCACATTGTCACAACTGAGATGCCAGCCTCATTGGTACCATCTGACAAACAATGTGGTTCTTGTGCATGTACGTGTGTGTGTGTGTGTGTGTGTGTGTGTATGTGTGATCTTCCACCCATCGTGTAACACTATACTGGTGATGAATTCCTAATCCAGGATGAGTATTATTTCTTACATGAATAGCGACACTAAAAACAAATGTTTGCTCAAAGTGAATCTTTCTCTTGAACCTCCAATTAGCCACTTTTACACAGTGAAATTACCCACTTTTACGCAGTGAAATTACCCTATAGATGAAAAGTATCTTACTATTTATGTGTGTTTCTTCAATGCTAGTGTGTCAGCCCTTATAAGCAAGAGCCATCAACATTTATATCTGCACATGAGTAAAGTCACATTATTATAAATCTTTGGTTGCTGAAATTGCACGCACACTCTTTTCATGCAGTAAGGTACCACATAGTTGAAAGGTAGAAATTAACTCAAGATGGCTATGAAGAATCCAAGAAGGCATTTATCTGATAAAGGATGGAAGTATATATGGCATATGACGTAACTACAGAGGAAAAAGAGCTGGTAGCAGTCCAGAAAGTGTTCATTTGCTGGCACAGATGCACAATTGCTTATCTTAAATTCTTGGAGCCAGGATGTGTCTTATAAGTCAGGATTTGGGGGATTTTAGAGAAGTAATATAATAATCTACTGTGTATCATGTAACATCACCTGCGGGGCCGAGAGCAGCCCCCTAGAATAAAATGTTTAGTACATCTTCAGCCAAAATTATAAGTGTTTATTATATGTGAGTAATGAATGACTAGAAGTACTTTTGTGTCAGTTCAGATCAGGTTTTGTTGCCAAATGAACTCAGATCAGGTCAGGTTTCAAAGAGCCAAAGTGATTGGCCACCTTAGCTCTTTGAGATTGTGGATTGGTACCTACATATCAGTAAACATCTCTGAGTGCCTTCCTGGCCTGGGTTGTATGCTAGATGCCCTGCTTAAGTCAAACACGACAAAGCCCCTTCTCCCAAGGAGTCTAGTTGATGAGACACTTAAGCAAACCAATATTTACATGTTTGTGGTGGACACCAAAGGTAAAAAGAGAAAGCATCTGGATGACACTGGGGAATCCGGGAAAATTCCTAAAGAAATTGCCATTGCTAATCTCATAAGAAATATTTTTCATGAATGAACATACATAAATATTTTACATACCTCCAGAAGAAGTGTACTTCTATACTTGCTTTAGGAACCAAGCCATCAACACACCATAATATTCTAATCCTCCAAAATCCCCTGTGGGTAAAAGTAAACTTTTACTAGATTATGCCACAGTAAGAAACCATTTCTAGATTTCGGTGGTTTACAACATAAATGATTTTGTTTCTTGTTCATGTTGCATATAGCTCGTTCCATGTGTTTTCTTTTTTCTGGGATGCAGCCTGAAGGATCAGTTCTTACCTGGGACATTGCTACTCTTAGAAAAGGGAAGGGGATTAACGGCAGAAACATGCCAGGACTCTCAACACGCCTGCCCAGAACCGGCATGTGACACTGATATTCATATTACACTGGTCAAAGCAAGTCACATGGTAAAACCTGATATCAGGGAAGCATAATTTTTCCACATGGATGTCCCATAGTAGCGCCCCATAAAAGAAAGGTAGTCAATATAACATTGACATTAATATGTCAATGTTATGTATATATAATATTATCAATGTAACTTTAATATAATCTACCAAATGGCTTCCTCATTCTATGGTCCATGTCCTTCATTGACCAGCTGCCCTGTCTGCTTGAATCAGTAGCAAGTCTCTCTCTACTGAACAAGTGGTGAGTCAATTCCCTCGACTAGTGAGAGGGCCATTCCTATCAAATGGAAAACGGGTCTCAGGTAGTGAAAATGGGAGTTTGGAAAGATGGAGGTTGATGAATATACTAAAGAATATAACAATTAGAAGCTTAAGAAGAGATATCAATAAACAAAAGGCAACTGGGTCTTTGGAAATGGGTAAAAAGTTCAACAACAACAACACAACAACAATAGCAAAAGAGACCAAACATTTCTGGAATCATATTTTGAACTATTTCAATCATTTAAAGAATAAAACATATCTGCATAGAGCTATCATTGGATGAATGTGCTGTGATCCTTCAGAAAGCTTCAAGCTGGAAAATTCATACACATATTTGACAGCCTAGAAACATTGGTTTCCAATCATGTGTCCACTGGATAAGGAGCATAAAATAAGATGCAAGGATGGGAGATAGAGGATTAAGCATCTGTTTCCAAGTTCAACACATGATAATTTAACGACTTTTTGTCTGTGGAATATATGGTGATCCGTGGAGGAAAGAGGAGAAGCTTTATAAAAGATAATAATACTAGTAAATATACTGCACTCTGTCTCTCTCACTCTCTTAAACACAATATCTTGTTTTGGTCTTCCTATGATCATAGATTTATAAGAAATTGTAGAGGTACCAGAAAATAGGAAGAAAAAAGTTACTGATGGTATCAAAATAGGTATGTATATGAAATATTGCATATTGCATGTATATTATATATAGTAAGTGAAAGTCTGAGGCTATATAAAAAGCTTATGTTCCTATATTTATGAAGAAGGCTAACTATAAGTTATACTTTTTTAAAAAATCTTGCTTCAAGACAGAATCAAAAGATGTGGAATTTAGTTGAATCAAAAGATTTAAGATCTTGAAACATTAGTCATACACATATGTATTTGGTTATAGTGATTTCCTATAAATATTATTTAACTATTACCTGAAATTCAATAATCTCATAATTCAATGTATGTGATTATGATTGTTACATATTTCTGTTTTTTAATATTTGATGAAGAATATCAATTCTGGCCCTGGTTTGCAAACAGCAGAAATAACTTCGACTATTCAAAGCAGAAAGGGAATTTATTATAAGGGTATAGGTGCTTCTGGTTAGGATGTATAAACCACCATTCCCACTCTAACAAAGAGAACAAGGCAGACAAATTATAAAATTATAGTTTTGTCTTTATTCCTTTAGAGAACGGAAGATAAAAAGATACATAAATGAATTACATTCCAGAAAGGGAAGAATACTTCCTAGGAGAGAAGAAGCCCAACCCATGGGCACAGAAGAGGAGAGGCAGATACACCATAGACAGAGGTAAAGAGGAACTAGCCAAATTTTTAATAAACCTGTACTAGCCACACATGGCTGTCGTGATAGGTGGGAACCCCAAGGAGGTCCTGTGAGAGTGTATTCATCCATGATCATCAGCCTTACCCCACAGGGCCTTCCCTGAATACATGTATGGTCAGCTGGAAGCAGAGCAGAGGGCCAGAGGGAGATCCTGGCCCTGAGGCCTTACAGCCACACAGGGCAGTGCTCC